ACCGGCTCCTCCGCAAAATGCAGTATATCTACTCCATATCTGAACTCTTTGATGAGGTATAATGTGATATAGTTAGTTCCAATCATGTACCAATCTCGGAGCTTGTAGGTGTGCCTGTTTTTGTATGTGTATGTTCCATTGTGCTCGCATATATACGTAATTAGAACAGCAAAAGTAATGTCTGTTCTCGGACATCAAGGTTTGATGACCACCATCATCCTGTCTCTCTGTATGTATTTTGACGGTCACTCTGATTGTGCAGGGTCGAATACATGTTTGGTTATGTTGCTGAGCTTTTTGTCTTCGTGTGAGAGAGAAAAAGAAGACTAAAAATAAGGAAAAGTGACCGCGATTAGAACGAATACAATGAAAAAAAGGACTCGTTGAGTCGGTCAACACTATCCATATCCTTAAGTCTATTAATTAAGCACAAGATGAGGAGCCGTGCGAGCGGCATCTGGTACCGGTGGTGGAGATGATTACGCTTCACTAAACCCACTTGAAGAGACACCCTCTTAGCCGACATTGAAGAAAACCAGCGCACAGAATTGTGTGAATAAGTGAATGGGCCACATGAAGTGGGGTCGAGGAAGAGTTGCAGCACTAAAGGTGGAATAACAAAAAATAGGAGCGAAAAGTGATGCCTAAAATGGATCAAGGCGATTGCCTTCATTTGTCACTTTGATCGGTTGTAACTGTGTGTTCACGATGGCGCCGCTAACTGACGTCGCCGACTACAATACCGGCGAAGTGTTACTGGAAATCACGAATACAATGGCAGAGGACATGGGACTAGGTACGTTCCACAAAGTCGCCATGATGTTTCCACAAAGCTGTGGAAAAAAGGTCGAAGCGCAAGTAGTATTTACTTGACTTCTTGCCAGTATCCCTTGCATGCAATTCGATGTATTTTGATGGCCTCTCTAATTATACGTTTAGCGTCAGACATACCATACTCCAATGATTGCCTAACTGTGCGCCGCGGCCTATCCATCACAATAATTATTGAATATTAATTTAATGTTAATAAAGCATCAAAAAAAATAATGAAGATACACAAGTTTTATTTATTTATATCTCTTACGGGTAATCATACTTAGGGTGGGGCGCCATGGAGCAATTTTAATTGGAAAAGGGCACCGCGACAAGAAAAGGTTTGGGAACCACTGTCATAATCAGCAAAATTAAAAGTTTGATACAATTTTTTCGCATAGCAAATATGAGTTTGCTTTATTGACAATCCCTTCACATAATGTGAAATGGGAAAAAAGCCTGGCCCTCCTTATATTTTATCTTTGTCCTGTGACTTAATGGTACTGGTGACAATGTGGTGTAGTGATTAACGTGTCGAGATTACACACTGCACTCTATTAGTTTGAATCCCGTGTGGGATATTGTTGATAAGACCAATGCGAGGTGGAAACTGCAGTCCACTTCAGCCTGAATGAGAACACTTTTAGGAAACAAGACCACGAGAACTTCAATGGAAGCGTCAGCTTAACTCATATTAGTGTGAAAATTAAACCCACCTTAAACGCAATAGGGTGAACACAGATAATGCACAGTTCGACATGTCTGGAGATTGAATCAACGGGCTCTTCGAGATCATTTCACGGCAAAGCACAACTTAAAAATTGGTATCAACCCCTTTAATTAGCAATTTTTGCCTCCCTATATTACTATGCATTGAAGTTTCTCTAAACTCTTTTTAAAAGCAAACAAATTCGCCAAAATCCAATGTTGAAGAAATTCTTTATTTGATTTTCTTGTCATTCGCTCAACCAGCTAAACTTGACTCTATTCCGTCACGCCTAAATCGTATTGGCTCGCCAATGCAAATAGAGACTTCCTGCATAACAATGCTTCACCCACTTCCCCAAATGATACAATTGAGGAAATTGAGCAGCAATAAAGATGTAACCTAGTTTCACTGATAATGGAATGATTCCCATTCTACTTCGGTACTTGTCAAATCCATTGCAAGAGTACACAATTTGATTTGTATACTTTGGCTTCATTTGGTACCGGTTGGTAAGATTGAAGCAATTGATGAGCAATGAAGATGTGGTCTAGCTACCCCTTCGTGTATATGGCATCAAGACAGTGAGATGTATTCATCCTATTTCGTTTAGGGTGATGAACTAAACACAATATTGAAGTTTGTTTACATGTTTTGCTGTTGGAAGACTACTTTCACTTTATTTTTCGCATTTAAGTATTGTTTCGAGACTACCAGTAAATCAGTAATATGAGATGTATTCACCCTGTTTCGATTGATGTGATGAAGGCCTGGTAGAAGAATTTGTCCACAATGATATGAGTAAAGCTGACGTTTCCATTGAATTTCACATAACCTTGAAGATATGAAGACCAAGAGGTTGTA